AATCTGTGGCAGCAGAGGAAGTCACGACCGGCACACTTGAACCGCCACTTTGTCGGATTAGTTAATACTCGAAGGGAGCGAACTCATCACTAATCTCAGCCAGCTCATGTTCCTAATTAGCGGAAATTCAATGGCTGGCACATAACGAATTTGTTAACGCGAAAACTACAACGGGGAAGGGCAAAGATATAGCTTCAGTATTAACTCCCAGTCCAAGCCAATGTAATTGTGAAAGCTTTCTTAGGGCCGGGCCAAATCCGTACAACAAAATGTTGGCAACGGCATACACAGAAAGTGATTACAAATGAAGAGCAACAAAGCCGATGCACTGAAAAAAAGATAGCTTTAAAATTCAATAAGAAATTATCGGCTCATAAACTGTCGTATTGCTTTTTTTAACCTATCACTAATCCACTAGATAAACAATTAAGTATTTGTATGTAAATCACTAGTATAAAAAACTAAACAATTTTTAAATGGCTTAATTTACATTACAAGCTTTAAACTGGCCTGTAAATTAATGTTCTTAAAACGATAACAACCACTAATCTGATGGCCAGTTTTAGTGACATTTTTTTCCAGTACCCAGGGATAAACTGGCGATGGAGCTGGAGTTTTGGGGAGGACGAAGCGAAGAGCCCTGTGCCACGAGCACTAATTACGCCCGGCGAACAAATGGCAGCGGGAATGGCAACTGTGGCGACAACGGAAGCTGCAGCTGGCGCAGTCTTGACTTGGTTAACAAAGAACAAGCAAAAATAATAGCACCACCACGCCAGCAACGACAACAACATTATTAACAAAGCAGTGGCTAAGGCAACAGGGCAGAAAAATAGCACAACAAAAATGGAGAATCTCAAATCCGACTTTAAAAATAAATACAAAAACCAGACATAATTTAAGAATATTCCTTGGTGCGACTACTGCATGGCAACTTCTCTCTTTTGCCAATTTCTTTGCTGCTCTATAAGCCGGAAACCATAAAAAAGCAATTCGTTATTAAAACTGCATAACAGAGAGGCAAAATATCCAATGCGAGTAAAGAAGGCAAATAGATTAAGTTCAAAACGAACGGAAAATACTCTAACCGAATTAAAATATTATAGATTATTTTATTAAAGCTTAGAGTGAGTTTGATCATATGATTTCAGCTCTTAACTTTTGAAGCAAATTCAATAGTTATAATTTTATCGTTTTAGGAAATGTTTAATTTGTCGAACTAACCTAAAGAAAAAAAAACAATAATTGCCACTTAGAAAATTAAAGATAAATTAAACAGGGACTTATTTAAACGAAAAATTTATTGTGTAATTGGCTCATTTTGCATGCTAATGTCCCAAAAACACAGTAAGTAACTTGAGTGGCTCACATAAATTCATAAATAATTAAAATTTCTATATAGAAAAGTACGTTTTGCCGCAACAGCACAAACAGCTTGTGTTACCCATTGGAAAGTAGGAGAAAAACGTTGGCAAAATATAAAGCGGCATGAGGAGCCGTACAATGCATATTGATAATGCACATAACAGCCATAAGTAACTGGCATCCTGGCAGACAAACGTGACCCGAGCAGAGCAGGAAAAGGCAGGAAAAGCCGAGGAAAATGTGCGAGCGAGAGAGTGCGTGAGGAGAGGAAGCGAGAGGGCAATACAGATGCCGGTCGAAGCAAATGACATGCAAATAAATGAGAACAAAGGGATAAACGAATGGCCCAAGCCAGTTGAAGTTGGCACTGCATTTGCTATTTGCCATTTTGCCATCGCCATCGCCATTGCCCGTCGTCCATCGTCGCATTTCCAGGCATCGCAAACGAGCCGCATAATTTTTGCCGACTGCACTTTGCGGCCAAGGCGCCGGAAAAGGCCGCCCTGAGCCCACCTCGCCCCGCATTGCCACGATTCTCTGATGGTTCCTGCTTTAATGAAGTATAACGCGACCAAATGAATGGCGTATTAAGCGAACGTCGCCTCCAAAGCCACTGTGCAAAATAAGAGGCAGAAAACGATTCAGCGCAGGTTTTAGTGGAAAATTTTTCGAAATTGATTCCCTTAATCAAAACTATTACTATTTAATAAAATTAATTTGTAAATTTAAAAACTAGTTGTAAATAAATCTACCTTCAACAAAAATGATGATAAACTGTAACATCTATTTTTCAAGTGTTCTAGTAAGCCAAATAATGCTAAACGATACTTTTATACTTTTTTTGCTGTTTAAAGTTGAGGAAAAAGTCGTAAGTTTTTCTTAAAGCTAATTAGTGTTTATACTGTAAAGTTTTTGATGGCTTGTATAGTTTTTACGATGCTTTACAAATAAGAGTGTTATTTTTAATTTGACGACACAGCTGTTCCTAAGACTCTTTAAATAAACCAGAAGTGATTATTTTAAAAGAGATATTTATTCAAAAGACTTAATTATTTTTTTAAAAGTTTCTTGTGCGAAAACAATAAATTTACTTAAGCCAATTATTATGTATTTATTTTCGTCCAGTGCCCGCTTTGAAATGTGAGGATAAATCAAGGTGGACTCCGGCTGCGGCTGTCGCTCCTGCCTCGTTTCCCGCCGTAATTTGTAAGTCGAGTGGGAAACAATATTTTTCCATCCGCCCTGGTGACCCGAGACAATAAGCATAAATAACATAAGCATGGAATATGGCATATGGATGGCATGCCAGCTGTAATAGACAGCGAGTGGACCGGCTGACTGGCAGTAGGAGTCCATGATGGTGCCTCGGATTCTGGCAGGGATCCAAAGACCCAATCCCACCAACCAATGCTCCGCCCGTCTCCCAACTTCAAGGACCTCTTGTTCGCACCCCCGAGGTCCTGTCCTGATTAATGCTTGTTTGTTTGCATGGCCGTGTATCACTAATGGAATTCACATGTTGGGACATGACTGATTATGTACACATTAGTCGACTGATTTGCAATTCCAAGTGCGCCAGTGTGCGATAGTGAGTGTGTCATGTCCTGTGTCGGTCCCAACTTTTCCACTGTATTCGGCCTGGAAAACAATGTTGCAAGCCGCCGTTCTATTAGGCGTGGGCCTTCATCGGCTCACTAACCGACTGACTGACTGACTGACTGACTGGCTGGCTGACTGGCTGGCTAACTGGCCGACTGAATCTACGTGTGAGTGTGGCACGTGTCCTGTCGCCTTGCACCACCACCCACCCACCTGTGAGGCCCAAAGGTCCTTTGCCAACTAAGCACATTATGGAGGATCCAACCCGCGCTAATTGGCAGCCGCTTTTGTGTTCGTCGCCATCGCCTAAAGCAATTTTGCGTGCTCGATAATTTGCTCAAAGCGATACGACGCCAAGTGCAAAGGTGCGGGCTTCTGCACACCCGCACCTCTCAGTGTATTTCCCCTGTAAAGGTGAAAGTTAACGTAAACGTAAGTGCATGCGCTGGGTTCCTTTTAAAATGTTTTAATAAACATGCACGGCAGCCAAGGTTTGCTTAACAAATTGACTCTTTCAAAAGGCACTTGTGAATTCCATTTGCCGGAAAACAATGAGTACTGGCACAGGCGACAAAATCTACATACATATTTTTATATTTATTAATATAGCTGCTATTTTCAAAAAGTAAACGAAATATTGTGTAGGTAATAAAATCAATAATTAAATAAAAATACTGAGAAATGGCTTTAATTTCATTAAAACACAAAACCGACTGATGGCCAAATGCCGAGTTGATCCTTAAAATATTTTAAGCCATTCATTCTTAGAGCCAATAATTCCAGGCGAAGTAAAATAAAGTTTTTAAAGTAAATAAATAAAACACCAAACAACCAGATCAGCTTGATTGAATTGAGAACTTTTGTTTAAATCAAATAAAAATGTGCAGCACGTATGTGCACTGCAAACGTTTACGAACACCAGCTTTATTAAAATCAATTTTAATCTTCTTCCTACAATTGAAAAAATGGCTTGCAATATTTTGGTCGCCTGGCTTTTTGTAACCCATATAGATACGGATACGGTTTTGGAACGACAAATGCAACTCGAAATGCCGAACTATATAAAGCGTGACTTAAGCTTCCAGCGACGTCATTTCCAGCTTAATTGAGCGTGTAACAAGCACAACTTTAGCTTTTAACTTGCACACTCACACACACACACATACGTACTTTGGCAGTGCCAAGGATATGCAAACAAAGAGTTCCAAAACTGTGCCAAAATTCCCCAACCCCTTAAAAAACATATCATCCTGGCAAACCGTGTTTGCGTGTGTGTCTGTGTGTGTGCATCGCGTTATGGTACCAGTATATGTTTTGTCCATGTTTATGTTTGCCGCCACAAGTAGTTGTGTTCAAACTCCTGCAGGACCCACTCACCTACACAAACATCGGGAAACGCACACGTGCGTTTAGTGTTAGTGTTTGTTTGGTATGGGAAAACATTCGGTTGTGGATGGTGCTGATGATACAGCAGCACCTTCGCCCCCACCGTTCAGCAAACTAATTGCCCCCGTCCATCGGATAGAGTGTAATCTCCCACCCTAAATTCAACTACACAAGGCAATATTTTTTCTATTTTTCCTTACCTCCACGTTGCGGAAATCAATCAATTTCCTGCGTAGACTTTGCCATTCTGATGGATTTTTTCGCTCTACGCTCTGTAAATTGTATGTATTGGGTTCTGAATAGTTGAGCACCCGACATTGATTATGCCGGCAGGTGAGTCGAGCGACGAAGGCATGGAAATACTTATATAATTTAATTAAAATTGCTCAGCTCATTGTGTGCCAGGTGGAATGCGTAATCGTTGGAGGCATTCTACCCAAGAAAATTAATTAGTACGGAGAAACACACAATAAAGAAGAAATATTTATGGCCAGCTAGCAATCACAGAGTAATATTTAATTTTTCTGAGCGGCGTAACTTTTTTTTCTTTACGGCATGTGCGCGGTGAAGTTTAATTATTAAAAAAAAAACAAAAGAAAATATCAACATATATTATTTTAAAGTATTGTTGACAGTCAAACACTATTAAATTTAAACATTTAAAGAATATATTGTTATCTTTTTTAGTTCGCATACAATTTTTTCTACTATAGCACTCTGACAATAACAAACACAAAAGGTAGTAAAAAAGTTAATTTGCATTAATGTGGTAAACCTAAAAAGTGATAAAAATATAAGTCACATAACTAATATTGTGCTTTTTGATTACCAGTTAACTGTAAATATTTTTTCATTTTGCAAACAAGTTTTTATGTGACAACAAGGATTATCCATAATAGTAATCACTATAACCAAAGCAATTGAATTCATTCTTTTTTCCTTTTCCTTTTAAGCTGCCGCCTGCCCCACCTGCACCTCCCTTTCCACCTGATCCTCCGTTTCCACCTGCTCCTCCGTTTCCGCCTGCTCCTCCGTTTCCGCCTGATCCTCCTTTTCCTCCTGGCCTACCTGGTTGACCCGGCTGCCCTGCTCGACGCGGTGGACTAAGAATTTCTGGGAGCGAAGAGCCAGGTTCTCTGTATCCCGGCCAAGGTTGCCCTCCATTGGCAAAAGAGCTTACTTCTCGGATACTCCTCTGATTTACCGGCGGACCAACAGGATGTAACTTATTTCCATCAGCTTCACCTAAAGAAAGGATATTTTTTAAGTTAATCTCTGAGAAAGCTCACTTCATAAGTATAACCTTTGTGAATCAAGATAAGACTGCATGCTAATGCCAGTATGTGTACAGGTCGCATCTTTACTGTTGACTAAGCCCTTCAGCAAAGGAAATGCATTTATATAGCAGCTAAAACTTGAGTCACCGATAAATCACTCATTTCACATACGAGCGCTGGCGATAGAAAGTACATTTTACAAGGTAATGTAGTTGAAGTTTTATAGCTAAATGTTCCATCAATCAATAATTTAATCAATTATAATAAATAAAAAAGTTTACAGATAAATCTAAATGAAACATTATTCTTCAATCTTGAATTTTAAAACCAATCACCAAGGTTCTAATAAACATCAAGCCAATTCTATAACTTGTCCTAACGGTAACGATATTTATAAGGAAAACAATTGGGTAACATATATTTATGTAAATCAAAATTCATTCGTGATTTTATTAAAAAATTTGAAAAAAATGAAAAGGAAAATCAATCACCAATTGAGTTTGTAATCCATAAGATTTATTTAGGACTTAAATATTGTAAGAAAAAAAAAGAGTTTTACCTTCATAAACGTAAGCTAATCAAGAGAAAGGTCATGACAGAGTGTCCTTTTAAATAAATCATATAGCCATGAGCACTCCGACTTGATTTTATGGCATTTTTTTCGTCTAGCTTTACGTAAACCAATATCCATTTTCCGTTTGTCAACGCTGCTCTAAAATATTTGTTTATTTTTTCGAAATATGTTTCATGGCACATCAGAGTCTTAATAAATACTAAAAAGCCATGATGAGCTGCTGCCCGGGTACAAAAGCCATCAAATCCGTCCCAGTGCCACGCCCCCCCAGACGCCCCAATCCAAAATTCTGACTACGACGCTGACGAGCTGCTGAGATGGTGAAATGCTGCGATGCTGCGATGTTGGGACGCTATGCTGTGCATTCCCAATGGATTTGCTCGTGCGTGTCGACAAGAATTTCAATTTGCAAACAATAAATTTGAGCAGCCAGTCGCTCCTTCGAGGACGACCACTGACGGGCATGGAACCAAAGGAACCCGCAAAAAAAAATTAAATAAATATATAGAAAAAGTGGAAAAAAATAAACGGACTCCAAGCAATGTTTAATAAAGAAGAAATATTTTGCTTTTCACTTTGGCATCGTGTTGCAAGTGACAGCTGACAATCCCCGCACTTTGTTCCAAAGCCCGGCAAATAGAATTAGATGCCGAATTAGGACTAATACAGCTCTTCAACTTGATTTTATTCCTGGCAGCTGAGGGCTTCCAGGATTCAGGACTTTAAGCGGAGGCGATGGGAAAGGAGCAGACAAAAGCGGAAGCGCAGAACAAAAAACGGAAATGAATCAATTTCCGTGCTGCAGACCATTAAAAACTACAAAGCCGTCCAAAGACCCAGATGAAGTACAGGAAAAAGAAAAACAAGAAGCGGCACAACAGATACAAAATATGGTATTCCGTCTGACTCCGCATGAACGATGGCCCATGAACCCGGAAAGCTGCTCCTTAATGAGATTGTGGTCTGCAGCATAAAATCACAAGAGAATATGCAATATGGAGATATTGAAAATGAATTTATTACCCAAAGTTATTATCGCATTTACCAATAAAGATTTTATACTGAACATAAAAGAATATTATTCATTTTTGATGATACAAATAAATATAAAAATGTTTTCTAAAATAAATAGTTTTCTGTTTTCAGCACTTAAAAAGAAAAAGAAATAAATTTTAAAAATGCTTTCAACAAGAAATCTTTTATATTTATTATATCCTTGATATTTAATTATTGTTTTTGATCGGAAATCATCATAAGATACAATCCAGATTTTACAGCAAGTTTATTGGCTTCTTCTTTGGAGGAGTTCGACAAGTTGTTGTAGATGGTATATATAACATAAAAGAAGCCGAACTCAATCGCTGTAAAATTAAATCATTAAAAAAACATATTTATTCATTATTACGAATAAATTTTACCCATGGTCAGCAGGGAAAGCAAAATGTTGGTCAGTGCCTCGATGACTTCTCCAACAAAAAGTTCGTAGACCCACCAAAAAATAAAGAGGACGTCGAAGGCCAAACCGCAGGCACACCAAATCAACCAAAATGTCATAAGTTCCGGTTTGTTCTGTCATGACAAAATAAAATGAATATATATTTAATGGAAGTATTTTTACCCACCAATGTGATACCTGCTATCATCAGCAGCGTTACTCCAATCCAGACATTCAGCATCAACAAGTAGCCCCAGAAAATCCAAACGTTTTCGTTCTCCGTCAAATGTTTTCTGCTCAAAAGAGCTTAGGGATATTTAAGGTTTACAACACATGAATACACCTTTATTGGCTGCTCTTACTTGGCAAAGGTCTTCTTTGATTTTCCTTGTTGGCTTCAATCGATGCATCTTCTGATTCCTTGGCCAAACGACGTCGACGCAACAAATAACACATAATCAATTCGAAAAACAGCGCTCCCACAATGTCCATCCAGCCAATAGCCACACCAAAAGCATTTAAAGCGTTCATAATGTTTAGCTACCAGTAACCCAATCACTTTCCTTTTAATCGTTAATTAATTTAAAATACATTTTTGATGACAAATTTTGCAGCGCAAGAGCCAAAAATAAATAACTTGATATATATAATTTGGTATATGTTTTTAAATTCACTTGACTTTGTTATGCAAAATGCAGATTTGAATCGTATCAGCGAAAATTGTTGTCCATTATTGGTATATTAAAATTTTCATAAATTTAATTAAAAACTCATTTAAAAATTCATTATAACTAGAATATATTTTCCACAAGTTTATTTAAATAGCTCTTTTGTGTTAAATAAAAGTTTTCACAGCCGGGTTTTTTGAATGTCTATTGTTGTGCTTCTTAAGCTTCCTGTTGCTCCTGTTTGCAAATCTTAAACTGGAAGTGAGATGTTTTAAAAGGTTTTCTGGCACCCCGGGGGATCCTACGCCCGAGTTGCAAATGAGCGCGAAAAAAGTAAATTATATTTGTCAACGGGGATTCCGACGCCTTGGCCCACTCACACAGGGGAAGACTAATGGTTGTGTGCGTGTGAGCTGCCGCCGCACGTATTTCATCCCTGCAAGCCTTTGGAAGATAAATTTATCCCCTATCGTCTAGAAGACACTTCTTAGTCACTTCTGGAAGATAGAAAGACGATAGAACACATTTTACAAAAACAAAATACACATCTATCGCCTAGAAGTCACTTCTTAGACACTTCTGGAAGATAGAAAGACGATAGAAATTTTTGGAAAAAAAAGAAGAGATTTTTATCGCCTAGAAGTCACTTATAAGTCACTTCTGGAAGATAGAAAGACGATAGAACACATTTTACAAAAACAAAATACACATCTATCCCGAAGAAGACACTTCTGAGTCACTTCTGGAAGATAGAAAGACGATAGCACACATTTTACAACAACAAATATACAAAAAAAAAACTATCTCCCAATTCACTTCTGGAAGTTGATAGGAAGATAGTAAAGCAAAGGTCCCAAAAATTTACCGATATTCTGGTTTTACTGAACATTTTTTTGTATTTTCCTTTGACCTGCGTACTGATTTTGCTGCAAAGCGTCAGTTAGTTTCTAGATTGCTGACTTGCCAGTTCAAGTCTGAAAATTGTTAAGTGTTTAAAGATATTATTGCGTCTAACAACGCGTACAATGCCGGAAAAAATGCAGCACATGTTAAGATCAACTATTTTTTTATATAAAGGTAATGCACATCAGTTTCTAAATATGCTTTTCATTATAATAATATTATTTGTTTGTTTTCTTTTAGAGTTTACATTTGTTAAATTTCTGGATGATTCAGAGCTGAAAAATCAAAAAATCTTCCATCAACAGTTCATCGGGTGTACAAGCGTCGAAAATATACAAAATTATATTAAAAAAATATATTAACATATAAGTTATTATATTTAAAAAAAATTAAATTTTTAATAAATATAGTAAAAATATATTCTATTATTTTTTTCCAATTGGGAATATTCTTCTGGGTAACTTCTGGAAGTGTCGCGGAAGTCACTTCTAGAAGTGTCGCGGAAGACACTTCTGGAAGTGTCGCAGAAGTCTCTTCTGGGGGGTGACGCAGAAGTCACTTCTGGAAGTGTCGCGGAAGACACTTCTGGAAGTGTCGCAGAAGTCTCTTCTGGGGGGTGACGCAGAAGTCACTTCTGGAAGTGTCGCGGAAGTCTCTTCTGGGGGGTGACGCAGAAGTGTCACAGTTCTTCCCGACGGACGTCACTTCCGCGATCCGAAAGCGATAGTCGCGGAAGATAGTTTTATCTTCCAGAAGTCACTCAGAAGTGTCTTCCGCGATAGAAAAGGCTTGCAGGGATCAGCTCGGCATTATGTATGTGCATGTGTGTGCTAGTATGTCTCATTTCTCCCCTGCATAAATAGATGCGACAGCCATAGCTGCGAGACTTGGCTGCTGTTTCCGTTTCCGCTTTGATACCCTGTCAAGGGTGTGATCGAATACATAACCGATTTCATCAAAAGCAACTTTGTGAAAGAATAAATAAAAACACATTTATCAAATATTAAATACACATTTTATATCTATTTAACTAATATAAATATCATAAATATATTCAACGAATTATATTTAAAATCTACTAGTTAACAAAAAATAAATGAGTGGCTTTAAAAAACCTTATACATGTTGCTTTTTCTTGATTGTCAAAAATTAAACTTTCAAATATTTTCGCCATGCGTCCATCGTCGCTATTAATCTGGGCCTACGTTATTGCCTGCTTCGATTTAATCAGCGCCGTGTTTTTTTCTATGGTTAGCTTTAAGACAATCTGCGATCGCGTAAGACAGCTGAAACAATCTATAGGTACTATATAAACTCCTCAGAAATATATTACCTCCCTCAGCTGAGTTGGCTGACCATTTTCGCTGTTATTTTTGGCATTTTCTGGGTATCGATGATTCTGATGCTCCTGTTTGGCATTCGTCTGGTATAAAAAATGGCTCACAATCGATGGCTTTGTAATGGTATCTTTCGCTTAATTACAGCGCCATCCGAAATGTGTTCGTGCCTGGATTATCTTTTCCTGCTTTGGAATCCTGGTGGAGATGTGCCTGATATTGTATGCCGTTTTCACCGAGAGTACTTTTCAAGCGGGTCTGATCAAAAATGGGCTGTTGCTGCTACTGGGATTAAGTAAATGGAATATTAGCGAAATCGCATCGGGCATGCATTTATAATAACTTTAATTTTCAGTTGTGGAGTGCATTTTTTTGTATATTGTTTACCGATTTAACGTGACGTTGGCCTTTTGCCAAGCTTGCCATAAAGCCATAAAGTCAAAAGCCGTAAATAGCAATTCTGATAAGGAAAGGTGCCCCGAACCAAATCGCCAAACTCAAACCTATCGATCACAAGGTCAACATTCTAGAAGACCCCAACAAATCCAACATCCCAGAGGAAAAATAGTTCAAAATACACCATCACATCCCATGAAGCTAAGTTTTCTTAGATCTTCTGAAAGCAATATGATGCCATGACTTATTTTAATTTTATAATACTTTATCATTTTATCCGAAAATATACCTGCTAAATATAAAATAATAAAAAATATAATTAATATTCACAGGGCGTTCAGTGCGTCGCAATTGGTTAATGTGAATATGCACACTCCTTGATTTTTTCTTCACTCTCTACCGAGCAAATTATTTTAAAAGGATTTTGTGTTTAACATTGGTGCACGCGTGTTGGTGTGAGTGGTTTCCGTTGGCGTGAAGAGATCCTAAATGTGATAAAAGTTAAAGAGCTTTTCGCCAGACCAAACCGGAGACAAAGGATATTGCGCTTTTATGAGCTCTAATCAAGAACCCCTTTGAGAGACTAAGAAAGGGATTTTTGTTTATTATCATAATTAACAAAATATAAACCAGTTGTATTGAAACCTAATTTGCTCATTTTTTCATTTGTTTTTGAAGCTGTTTGAGAACAGCTTTATCCCTTTTCATACGTTCCTTGGCTTGTTTTTCCATGCGCTTCAGGGCCTTGCGATCCATTGGCTTTTCATCTTCCTCTGAATATTCCGCCTCACTGCCCCCTTTTTCTCGGTCCGGTTCTTTACGTGGAGTAGATGGGGGAGTATGCACAATCATATCCAAATATAAGAGATAGATGATGTACACAAATGTCATTTCCACAGCTGCAAAGTATGAAAGTATATTTTAAGTAGGTAAATAAAATTTGAAATTAATTAAAACTTACCCAAACCAACGAACGGCAGCACTGTGATCTTCACACCCTCCCAGTTAACAGATATGGCCAAAGTCAGTCCATAAAGCAATATTACTCCATCTAGCAGTATTCCCAAACAGGTAAACACCAACCAAAAGCGAACCAATCCCAGTTTCCTTTTATAGATCCCAGATAATAAAATTATGATTATGAGCATCCAGAAGACGGTGAAAATCAGCGCCACCAAAGCGGACCAATGTCCCTGTAAATACCAATATTAAATTATCGCCCCCGAACGGATTACCCTTTAGTCTTACATGCTTGGAATATACCACTCCTGAAATAATTGCGAAGAGCACGGCGGATATGAAGTCCAGCAGGGCGATGCAATAGGCGCAGGGCACTAAATATCCATCAGAAGTTGACCTCATTGCCGGCAAAGGTTCATCACATCACAGCCAATGTCTACTAAATCAAAGCTATAATGATGATAAGCACGTACTAGCCGAGCGAAGGAGGAGGGGACTTGGCTGCCTGTTAATCAATGCCGTTTGATTGCCAAAAGTCCCAGACTGCGCACAGTGGTGCAAAATAATTGTGGTGTGGGAAAATACAGTGAAAAATATCAGAGAAAATAATATTAAATAGTGTTTTAACATATTTCAACTTGTAACAGAGGTGAACTTTAAAATGCGATTGCTGTAATGTGTAATATAATAAATATATTTTAGGATTATTAATTTTGATGTTTGGATGTATTTTCAAGCGCAAAGAGATTGGGATAAAGTGTATCAAACAATTCTAGTCTTAAACCATGAATTTGCAGTTGTCTAGATTGAAATATAATTTGCCAAAAAACCAACATATTTATATAGTTCATAGTAATTTGTATAACTTTACATTTTTTATAAATATGGCTTGTTATTCATGTTTATTCCATAAAGGGTCCTTAAACTTATTGCTTGATCCCCAAAACAATCTTTACCAATGTGAAATGCCTATCGCAGACGACGATGTGACAAGTTTGTGCGACCATCTGTCCGCTCTTCATTTATGGCATTTGTTTTGTCAGCAGGCCCTGGAGATTGGATTGTCCTGGTCCCCCGCCGGCAACGTGACTAGCTCTCGTCCTCCAAGCCATAAGAAAGTAGATGAAAAACTGTGTAAGTCAATTATTATTATTGTTTGTAAGGGGCAAGGAATTGATTTGCCCTTCCCACTTGGCTGGTAAATTGAAATCAACCGATTGCAAGAAATATAAATTATTTTTTATTAATTCAAAAGGGAATTCCCAGCCTTTAGGCGAAAATTATTCAAAGTCAGCAGAACATAAATAATTTTTATTTTGTTAATTCCTGATTTTCTCTACGATAGCATACTATCATTCAGTTGTCTTTTCAGATGTTTTCGAAGTGGTCGTCATTGATTCGGTGGCATCGTCTTTGTTGCAGCTTTGAGAGGTCCAATCGTAGCTTTCGCCTTCCAGAACACAATAGGAATACAATCTCTTGAAATATCTGAGTACCAAATACAAGCAAGTACACTCATAAACTGTAATGATCTTTGATTAATTACTTTAAGTTGTGATGAATGAATTTAAAGCATACAAATTCCGAAATATAAAACAGTCCAGTGCTTGAAATTAATCATGTCGAAAACAGGTGAAGAAGTTACACTCCATATCAGAAAAATAATATCGGTGGCAGTGGCAAAGCCAGAAAACAGTAACCAAAACAAGAGAAGAGTTGGACGGCTCTAGATACAAAATATATTGAAAACAAATATTAATCAAATAAAAAACACGCCTACCTTCCACAAACCCACAAAAAGTGCCACCACGGTTAGTATCCAAACTACTGTGCTGAGAAAAGCAATTATGGTATAGGAGTTCGTCTATGCCATATAAGGTAAATGTTAATGTTATAGCTTAAAAATTTTCATTGAAATACTTACATGCGAAATCATGAGAGAAACTGAAGTAAAGGAGAAATAAAGGGAACGCAACAGTTCAAAGGCAGCAATGAGAAAACATATCCTTAAAAGATTATCCCTTGGAAAATGCCACTCCTCCGCTTTAAACACCATTTTTTAGTTAATTTTTGTTTGCTTTGTAGGACTGATTAACAACACAGTTTTTAGATATGGGTATAAAATATACAATTTAATTGGCTGGGAAAAACAAAGCCAACTAGTGAAGTGGCACATGCAAATATAAATAGTTTGTGATTATTTTTTCCCTTTCTTCTTCTTTTTTGAGCTTTTATCCGACTTTTTCTTATCGCTATTTCGCTGACAGCATAAGATCCTTTTTTTTCGTTTCTGGCTAATTATTACATAATACCGATGTATAAGATATATAGAGGTGCTTTCAATAACTAAAAAAAATATAAAAATAAACACAAAAATGTAAAAGAAATGTATTAGAGCGATTTTAAACTCACATATGCCAAGAAAGATGATAAAGAACTCTTGAAGGCGGTCCCAGTCCACAGTGATTGAAGTTGCTATGCCCCAAAGCAAAAATACTATATCAACGACAAAGCCTGCTAATGAAAACATAAGCCAGAATCGTACCAAACCTGGTTTGCGCTGATTAAGTAATATATTAATTAGTTTTTAAATAAGTTATCTCATAAAAGAAAAATTAACAAACCTTCCAGAGACCAACAATCAGAGCAACGACCATTACTACCCAAAAAACGACACCCAGAAGCGCCAGCATAGCAAACGCGCTAAACTATTAATTTAATTTGTGAATATATTTCTGTAAACACCGTTATTAACAAAACCCACCTGATGCACCAGAAGAATCATCGCCTGTATAGTGAAATACAAGGCATGTAGCAGATCGGAAACAGCTATACCATAACATATCTTTGGAAGATTATCATTTAAAACTCCATGGGCCTTACTGGATTTCTTTTTTGACTTATGGTCCCCGCCCTTCTTCTTGTCGGAAGACTTCTTTTTTGATGAGTGCTTCTTCTTGTCAGAGGCCATTGTTTTAAGTACAGATTGGATTTTTCACGCCTAATGATCAATAGATCAAAGCACGTCGGATTACATAAACAAATCACTTGAACATAGCCTGAAATAAATTACACCTCTTTTATGCAGGTATTAACCGTACAAATTTTTACAAAACTTTCAACAACTTTTTATATAAAAAACTAAAAGTTGCACTAAAAATTAAACATTTACTTAAAAAATTTTGATGTGGTTGTGTTTTACAATTTTCAAAAATTCCAATCATTCCGTTGAATAACCGTTAAAAACCTCGAACAGCTGACTTTGCACAAAGTGGCATCACTTGGCATTATTGCCTATCGGCTTATCAGTGTTGAAAAACGAGCCAAAAGTGGTTTCGGCGGTCGTCTTTGTTTATACAGCGAATAATCAACTGAAGCTCATTGTACAAACTGGAAACAATATGCCTATTGTGGTAAAGACGTAAGTACCTCAGTATGCAGTTAAAATAAGGCATAATAATAGGTGTAGGGCAGAGAAAACGAGGCTCTGTTTCGGGCCGGCTGAAAGGCGCAGCGTTGCCACCTAATCTCATTATTGTCGCTCGTTTCTGACAATCTACGGTTCACTTCGCGGATTTGTTGTGAAATATTTTTTGTTTTTTGTTCAAAATGGGGCCGCCAAAAAAGTCTAAAAAGGATCGCAGCGGTTCAGACAAGTTCGGTAAGTATGGGACAAATGGAAAACAATCAAATTTTGGTGTAACTTGAGGAATGTGCCTTCAGCAAAAAAGCGGCGTGCTGAGGATGAGGCTTTCACTCAACTGGTGGACGACAATGATAGTTTGGATACTACCGAATCGGACGGAGTACCAGGTGCAGCATCTAAGAACGCAGAAACAAACGATGAACATATCAACACAGATGAATACGGGGCCAAAGATTACCGGGCGCAAATGCAACTTCGCCAAGATCACGGCAATCGTCCACTTTGGGTGGCTCCCAACGGACACGTCTTCCTGGAATCCTTCTCGCCCGTCTATAAGCACGCCCACGATTTCCTCATCGCCATTTCGGAACCCGTCTGCAGACCCGAACACATTCATGAATACAAACTAACAGCCTATAGCTTATATGCCGCCGTTTCGGTGGGCTTGCAAACGCATGACATAGTGGAGTACCTCAAGAGATTAAGCAAAACCAGCATTCCCGAGGGCATCCTGGAATTTATCCGTCTCTGCACCCTTTCATATGGCAAAGTCAAGCTGGTCTTGAAGCACAACAAGTACTTTATAGAGTCACCACATCCCGAAGTGCTGCAAAAGCTGCTGAAAGATCCGGTGATTCAGAAATGCCGCCTAATACGCAGCGAAGGCGAGGATTTCATACAGGGCACATTGGACGGCAAGGCCATTACCCAATTTGGTACCAAATTACCTCCCGGAGCTGTAGAAAAGCCTGCTGAGGATCCTACTGCAGCTGGTGCAGCACCCGCAGCCGCAGATGGAACAACTGCGGTGCCGGAGGATATTACAGACTTCTACGAGAAGATCGACAAGGAAGAGGAGGACGAAGACGAAGCGAATTTGAAGACTGTATCTTTCGAGGTGGCCCAGGAAAAAATTGAGGTGATCCAGAAGCGCTGCATCGAAATTGAGCATCCTTTGCTGGCTGAGTACGATTTTCGCAATGATACAAACAATCCGGACATTAATATAGACTTAAAACCTGCCGCCGTACTGCGTCCATATCAGGAGAAGAGTTTACGCAAGATGTTCGGCAATGGAAGAGCAAGATCTGGTGTTATTGTACTTCCCTGTGGAGCTGGAAAATCCCTTGTGGGAGTTACTGCTTGCTGCACTGTGCGGAAAAGAGCGCTCGTGCTTTGCAACAGTGGTGTTTCTGTGGAGCAGTGGAAGCAGCAGTTTAAGATGTGGTCCACAGCTGACGACAGCATGATATGTAGGTTCACTTCCGAGGCAAAGGACAAGCCAATGGGTTGCGGCATACTGGTCACCACTTACTCCATGATAACACACACACAAAAGCGATCTTGGGAAGCAGAGCAGACTATGCGTTGGCTGCAGGAGCAGGAATGGGGTATAATGGTGCTGGACGAAGTGCACACAATCCCTGCCAAAATGTTTCGTCGCGTTTTGACGATCGTTCAATCCCACTGCAAGCTGGGATTGACAGCTACTCTGCTTCGTGAAGATGACAAGATTGCGGATCTCAACTTCCTCATTGGACCCAAGTTGTACGAGGCCAATTGGTTGGAGCTGCAGAAGAAGGGCTACATTGCCCGCGTCCAGTGCGCTGAGGTGTGGTGTCCCATGTCGCCGGAGTTCTACCGCGAGTACCTGACCACAAAGACCTCCAAAAAGATGTTGCTCTACGTGATGAATCCCTCCAAATTCCGGAGCTGCCAGTTTCTCATCAAATATCACGAGCAGCGGGGCGACAAAACCATTGTCTTCTCCGATAATGTGTTTGCCCTTAAGCACTACGCCATCAAAATGAACAAGCCTTTTATCTATGGCCCAACCTCACAGAATGAGCGAATTCAGATTCTCCAGAACTTTAAATTTAACTCAAAGGTAAGAGCAACTCATTAAAAAAATTATTGAACTTTTAATAAATTATTTTTCGTTACAGGTCAATACAATCTTTGTGTCCAAAGTGGCAGATACCAGTTTCGATTTGCCCGAAGCCAATGTGCTTATTCAGATCTCCTCGCATGGAGGTTCTCGTCGTCAGGAGGCCCAGCGTCTGGGTCGTATTCTGCGTGCCAAAAAGGGCGCCATCGCCGAGGAGTACAACGCCTTCTTCTACACTCTCGTATCACAGGATACAATGGAGATGAGCTACTCCCGCAAGCGCCAACGGTTTCTCGTTAACCAAGGTTACAGCTACAAGGTTATCACACATCTCAAGGGCATGGACACGGACGCAGATCTGATGTACGGCACCCAGGAAGAGCAGGGCCAATTGCTCCAGTTGGTTCTGTCGGCCTCTGATTTAGACTGCGAGGATGAGAAGCTGCCGGGTGAACCCGGCTTCCGCCCAAGCGGTTCCGGTGGCACCGTCAGGAGGGCTGGAGGTCTCAGCTCCATGTCTGGCGGAGATGACGCCATCTACTACGAGCATCGACGCAAAAATGTTGGCAGCGTTCATCCGCTGTTCAAGAAGTTCAGGGGTTAGATTTAAGCATGTCCTGCACTACTGTGAAGCATGAATAAAATTCTAAAAAAATAAAACAAAATACCGTAGTTTTAATTAAATTTTTTTTTCCAAGTGCAATCAGATTTATTCGTTAACTATAATGACACTGTTTCAACTTTTTAATTTCAGGCAAAACGCTGGCAAAGGTGATTGGGCCATCATAGAGCTGCAAGGCGACCTGGAGGTGAGGAGCAACCAGGACATGCATGATCAGTTTATTGGAGATCTGTACTACAACAAATATGGTCAACCTGTAAGTTGAACAATATTACTATCCAAAACTTCCATTTACTTTTGATGTTATTTTTAGATTCTTATCATTGGCCATCACATCCTTCAGGGACGTGAACAAAAACTTGATAAACCCTTTGCGGTGCTAGAAAAATCGAAAACCAACGAGGGAGAAAGACTTTTAGATACGACCATGACTTCGCAGGATGTGAGCATGCTGAATGCCACCACAGGAGCCGAACGCACCGTGCTGGATCACACAATTGCCCAGGAGCACAAGAGCCGCCAGAGGACCGAGTACACAGTCCGCGCTGTTTGCACCAAAAAGTTAATCTTTAAATCGCGACCGAAACCAATTATAGCCAATGTGGCCAAGTCCGTTTGAGTGTGTTTTAAAAATATAGTTTTATTCGCTTTTTATGATAATAGATTCATAAGTAGTCTTTTTATTAAACAATTTCCATCTCACGCTCAATGCCCACGAACTTTAATTGTTCTGTGGGTCCGTATCTGTAGTCAAAGAAGAGCTCTTCGCCGGGTTGAATGGCCCGCTTGGCAAAGATTCCGATACGATGATCGCCGGTGACCATCATCACCTTGGCATAACAGTTGGGATTAATGGAATGGTTAGCAAATCTGATCTTGTTGCCCTTTCGGGTGGCGTCCACAACGAAATCATTGTTCAGATTAAAAAGGAACGAGCACATGTACTTGTCATACACTTTGCCGCGGCGATCGGCTTCGTCTTGAGAAATTATTTCTCCACAATATTCCGAGATAAACTCATTCTTTTGGGCGCCCTCCTTAAGGAAGATTCCCCAGCCGGCAATGTCAGAGGGTGCCATAAGCAAATGTTTGTCTGGAAATACAGAAAAAATTGTGAATGTAGTACATACAATGTATGTACTTTAAATAAATGAATTTCTTACGCAGTCCCCGCTGCACGCACACATTCTTGCACGTGATCTTTGTCAGCTTAAACTGATCCGCTCCACAAGCCTGGCAAAGATCAGGATCGCACTCGCGAACCGCCAGGTAACATGGGCATTGCTTCGTATTGCACTGCGCCTTGCAGCGGCATCCTGGAAAGCGATTTTGGCAATCGCTGCTGCAGTTGCAGAACTTCTCACAAAAGTTTTGCGTCTGGATGCAGGAACAATTCATATCGCAGGGATGTCCTGGATGGTCGCACGGCGTGTAATTGTAAACATGGTTCGAAGACGAATCCTTCTTCAGTTGAATCTTTCGGCAGTGGAGCGACCACAGACGTTGCTTCTTCTTCTTCTTGCGCGGTGGCGTGAAATCTTGGCGCAGATCCTCGAAACTAAACTCGGCATCTTCCTTCTGAGCAAACTCATATACTTGACGGCAGGTCTTTGTTAGCATGTTGTGGGCAATCGCGCAGTAGTTCTTTAAATAAACTTTGTGCAAAACACGATAGAGAGCTTGATCAGCGCCAGTCCAGACGCACTGCGTACTGGTTATGTTCATCATGCCAGCTGAAGAAAAAAAGTAATTACTTTTCAATTTTAAAATATTGATAATTCAGTCAAAAACAGACCCATAATTGAGTTGATCTCGGCCACAGCAGCGCTATTTACAGTCAGTCCATTATCCTTGCTGTTCTCGTGGCTAAAGTCCTTGTTGCTAAACTGACTATTGCTGTCGTTACTGTCCTCCGAGCTGGCTTCGTTGCAGGAATCTATAGGTGGTGTTTTGCTATCAGCTGCTAGCTTTTCTTTCATGCCATCCTGTTAAAAACCATAAAATAATTAAAGATTTCTGGTTTATTTTTGTCATAATACTTACAATCAACATGTAGCAAGAGTTGCCGCAGGGTTCGGCAAAAGTCTTGAGCTCCGGATAGCGACGCTTCTGCAGATTGGGACCTGCATGTCCCTGCAAGCCTGTGGAAAGAGAACGGCGCAATTAGAAGGACCCCATCGAACAGAAATCACTTAATGTCCATGAAACGCATTTGGATTAGCATGAGGGTAATCGGTTACTTTTCAAGATAGAGAGAGATATACAGAAATGGACCAGGCAAAGCCACACGGAATGAGGTGAGCAACACCGAAGATTCAATTTAGACACATGACAAACATAGCCAATTATCCACAGACATGAGGGATTATCGTAATTATATTCATAGACAGCGAGATGAGGATGCGAAGGCGTGGACGGGCTAACGGCATGAGAGTGTGTGCGTGTGGTTATCGAAACAACAACTACAACAACGACTCACCCTGCACATGGTGACCTAAATTGCAATTAATTCAATATAACATTTTTGAATTTCGTTTTTTTTTTGGGGAAGTTTTAAGAAATGGTACAGATTGGTTTGGCAATAATATATTGTTTCCAAACAAGAAAAGAAAAGCAAAAACAAAACGTAAAGTCATTAGGTAACCCAGATGGCATCAGTTCCCATGGTTAAACTTACGGTGTAGGAAGCAATCATATTTGAAACAACGCCGACAGAACAGCGTGTGGAAGGAGTGCATGGTCCTTTCGCGGGAAACACTCTCGGCCTTGATGCCATCTATGTTGGGCGTGCACTCCTGGGGACGCTCCGGATCCTGGTGCTCGGTCAGCTCAATGTACCTGGAAAAATTATATATAAACAAATGCAATCAAAGTTGTTCCGTTTGTGTTTAAGATGTGTCGATACAATATTGTTGCTTTTGATTTAACATACTTCTCTTTAAGCTCTTGGGCAGTGCCTTTGTCTGGGAAATTGGCACTGATGGCCTGAAAAAATAATAGGAGCCGGAAAGGGCAGCTTGTCCTTGACTTCTGGCACGACGGGTTTGATATCGGCGCCTTCAGCTCCCTCCAGTTCCTCCTTTTCCTTCTTCTCCTCCTCAGAAAGATCTGTTTTGCTCTCGGTTTTCACCAGTTTTTTGAGAGTTTCTCGATCCGCATCCTCTTCTCCATTATCATCGTCTTCCTTAGCTTTTGTAGTTGTCTCTGTCTTAACAGAAGTCGAGGTACCTGGGGTGGATTCCTCCAATTCTTTGCTGTGGGAACGCATTAGGGCATGAACCAGTTCCACAAAAATTGCATCATCCATGAACGAGGGATCCTTGTCCCCATGAACCTTGCCATCGTAGTTCTTGATCAGTTCCTCGATGAACTTGCCGTCCTTATCGAGGACCTCGTCGCCCATGTAGGGAATATTATGCAGAACCGTCTCGTCCTCGACCATGAAGTTCTGCTGAGTGGGCGCCCATGTGTACATTGTGGGTATAGGAGTCACTGCGTTAATCACGCAAATGGGAACTTTTTGCGGACCACTAGGAATGCCATTGTAGCTGGTCACTTCCGCTCGCTTCACACAGTCAACATGTGGCGGATCGTAAGGTTTAGCCTGCCAAACTTTCGATTCGCAATACAGATCCTGCACATTGTGGTTGTGCTCGTCCCTAGGGAGTATAGATTTCAATAGCTTCGATTCCAGACATCTCCATCCTCATTCCCGCGCTTACCAGTTCTTTATCCACGCCTCCTTGATCTCGTCGGCGCGTTTGTACCGCTTCTGCTGCCTGATTTTGATATATTCCGACTTGACACGCCTCTTCCATTCGGGGGGCACTTTGGTGTTGTTCATGGCGTTATTTAATGCCTTAAACTTGTACGCATTTAGACATTAAAAGAGTTTTCAAGGTTTATTTTTACTCGACCGCCTTTTTTTGCAACAGCTGCCACAGTGTGACCGTTTAGTTTTCAAAATATGTACCTTCCCACATGGGCGTAGGCTTAGTGTTAATTCAAAACTGTAACTACAAAAAACTCCATCTTTTGGCTTAAAAATACAATTACAAATGTTATCTTTATTTTATTTTAATAAAATTTTACAAAAATTTAAAGTTAGATAATGTTTTATTGTCTAACCATGTAAATTTTATGCTGATATTAACATGACCCCTTGCTCTGCACAACCATGACTTTTAGTGTTGACTAACGCCCTCCTACGGCAGTATTGGCTAACGTGGAATATCATCAAAAATATAAAAAAGGAAAGCTATGAGAATCCTATCAAAATCAAGGAAATTACGCAAAAATATATAAACTGGACAAATTCAATCGCATAAAGGCGGCCACGAGCATCGAGGAAATAGCTGCAATGGAACCGTCAGCCTGCGAAGGTAAGTCTTAGTGAAAAACCCGGAAAACGCGCAAGCCGACTGACTATGTTTACCAACTATAACTGCGATTGTTTTTGTTGCTCTCCCTTGCAGATCTCAAGGCCTTTGAAAGACGCCTCACCGAAGTGGTTTCATCGTACAGGCCCTCGACGTTCCGCTGGCGCAGTAAGTAAAACCCAGAAACTAAAATATGGGAGCAGTACGGCCCGTAATAACAGTAGAACTTCTTGCAGTTGTCCTCTCCGCCATGTCCATGTGCACGGCCATTAGTGCCTGGTACTGGCTACGCGATCCCCGAACCACCGTCGTACCGCTCACAGAGTCCCTTTGGATCCACCCAATCTTCACAGTCGCCACCCTGACATTGAGTAAGTGTTCCGTATAATAAGTAATGCAGTCTGTATCATAGGTCACTTTGCACAAGCATGGCCCTGGGTCATAAAAGCAGAGGTTTTTTGTATAAATTTTATAGTTAAGAAATTAACAGTGACTAGTTCAAATTCCATTTTCATGTAGACCGCTCGATGCTAGCTAATATTTTTCGAAGGCATATTAACAAGTGCTCACAAGTTAGCACCGAGAAATCTACTGAGTTCTTGAGTTAGTTTGTTGTTGTACCACCCACATATTAGATAAACCAACTGATTAAAAGCTTGATAGCACTTTGTTTAAAAGCGATTATGCATGTAATGCTTGCTATGCAGACAAAAAGTATTTATTTCGACAAACAAGTACTAATCTTATAACTTCAATTTAACTTCCAGTCGTCCTCTTCATCCTTGGAATACAAAAACTAGTCATAGCGCCGCAGATCATCACGTCCCGAACGCGAACGGTGCTGGGAGACTTCAATATGAGCTGTGACGATACGGGGAAGCTGATTCTAAAGCCGCGCCAGAGTAACAACAACAGCACATGAGCAGCGACTCGCTTCCAGGACATTTAATTAGTTAATGATTACTTTCTTCCCCTCTTTCAACCTCTATATGTTGATTCGGACACCCTCGCTTTGTAAGCGAATTTTTAACTTGCCCCTTTCATACTTCTTTCACCTTTGTTTAATTATAGAAGATCCATTGTACAAAAAACAAAAAACGGAAAAATCAATTGTTAAGCTTTATGTGTTTCGTTATGGCGTTACCCATCGCTGCCAAATACAAAAAAGTAACATTTCAATATCAATAACTTTGTAAATGATTAGGTGCCCCTCTAGATTGTGCAACGACAAGTGTTTTTTGGGTTTTTAGGGAGCGAAATTCTGTATAAAAGGGGAGTCTGGTCAGTTCCACAGCATCAGAAGCAACCAAGCCATCTGTACAACAAGCCAGCTTAACCATGAAGTTCCTACTCTTGTGCACTCTTATCCTGGGCCTCGCCTTCTTCATGGCTTCTGGCAAGGATTGCAATTGTAAGTCCTCGCACGCAGCCACCACTAATTGGCTATTCTCTGCTTTTAGCTCTTCCCCAATCCCTTGAAAACGAAGCCCCGATCGCTGACCATGGGGATCACCACCGTGTGGTCCGAAGCATCAAATTCGCCGACGATGTGAAGCCTCAATCCAAGCAGGGCGATGTCGCCTGCTGCGGCTAGGCTACGTCCTGATTGAGGCGTTGCTTTAACTTTATCGAGCTTTAAACGCCTACAATTTCAAATAAAGAGCAATATTGAAAAATGTAGCTGACAACATTTTTTAAATTTACTGGGTAACCGGAATTATAAGCGGCTGTAACCCTGTTAACATAATACATGATTGCATTACATGATATCTATTCATCTGAGTTCCATATGAAGAAAGTATTTTCATAAGCAATGCATCCAATGCAAATTTCGGAAAATATATAACAATTTGCAATCCACACCGTAAAACAAACAAATATTTGGTTGATTTTGCGTGATATTTATTTTGATTCAGCATTCTCTATAGTTTTTCCTTCATTTTCTTTTCTCGCTCTTATCGCATATATAAATCTTTATTTAGTTTGTGTGATTTTTCATTGTTCTTATTTTTTTTGGTACAAATTGTATGCGTTAAGTTTTGCCATTTTATTAATTTTTTATTTCTATTTGTAAATCTTAAAAATTATTATTATTGCGCAGCTCAAGTTTATTTGTAGATTTGTTTAAATACGTTTATCAAAGTTGACGGCGTGGAAATATATAAATGCATCCGCTTTCTGCTTGTGGTTCAATTGTGTAGGCATTTTAGTTCGTACAATTCGTTATAGTAATTAATTTATGCATTATGTAGATCTTTACACCTCGCTCTAAACACCGTCATGTACAAAAAAATACTCTAGATTTGATTTTAAAATGTTATTTAATATTTATAATCTCTGCTTTAGTGAAATTTAGGATTTAACTCTCATATCTTCCCAACCATCAGTTTAAACTTTGCGCTAATTTGTTGTTTAGGTTAATTGGGTTCCTTTCATTACTTAATATTAGGGCTAGATTATCAACTAAATATTGTTGCTGCTGATATATGCGTCCCACTTCGTTACGTCACCTGGAGGCCGGAGTCTAAAACAGTACGAAACAAATGCTGGAAATGCACACAGGGTAAAAATAAAACTAGAGGCTGCCTCCTGCTAGCACAACACTCGCTCACAATTTTTACAAATAATACAGAAGCCTACTAATTACATAAATAAAGTAAAAACCATTTAAATCGATACGCATACACATAGAAATTAACGTTAATGAACTCTTCTCTCCACCATCCATCCGATCGCCTCCGATATTATGCGGCCAGTAGGCGCTGTATGTTCTTCGGCGTGTTCTCCCCGTTCAAGTGCTTCGTCGTGTACCGCAGGGCGTTCAGCAGCGGCTCCGCCTTGATGGCCGGCTGCGCCTGCAGCAGTCGCACGCACCCCTTCACGTCCACATGGGCGCCCCGCACAAAGGCCCCCTCTGGATGCACATGGTCGTAGAGGATCACCAGGCCGACCATCACGCGAAGCACCAGCATTTTCGTGTCCTCGCGTTCGATCTGTTGTAGGAGTTTTCTGTAAGAAAGAGAAAATATTAGAAAATATTAGAATAATACATATTAGATATATTTAATTGAAAAAAAATTCACATATTCAAGAATCGTAGAATCGTTAAAGCAGATTCCTATAAAATTTTATTAAACTTACGGATTTTCCAGCATCCTCAGGCACACCTTCGCCATTGTTCCGAGCGTTTCCGTCGTGTTCTGGACGTCATCGGCATTGTCGTTGACAAACTTTGAAGTAGCCTCGCTCAGCACCTTGAGCATGGGCGTGGCATGGGCGTAGAATAGAGACATCCGGTTGGCCAACTCCGTACTGACCAGCATGTTCTCCGTGGAATCCACACGCTGTCGGCTGACGATGCGTCTGTAGTAGCTGAAATCATTCTGTATGGCGGGTGTTTTCATCTGCAAAGAGAAAATGTTAAAAGGTAATCAAAATTTGATCATTTATGAGGGCGTTTATAATAACAATTTAAAATTGGCGAATAAAACCGATCTATAAATGGAACTCTTGAAATATTATATTTAAAGACTAACTAGAACTAGAATTATCTTTATCGATTCAGTTTGAAAAATCAGTCAGTAAGATCAAAACAATCACAAAGGGGTTAAAGGGCATATTCAAAAACAAATTTTCACAAGTAAATCATGGACAGTTCCCAGACGGTGACCACAGCAAAGGAACGCGAGCAGTATCGCAAGGAGCGTGAGCAGGAAAGAAAGGATCGTGAACGAGAAAGAAGGGATCGTGAACGGGAAAAAAGGGAGCAGGAACGGGAGAAAAGGGAGCGTGAACGGGAACTCAAGAAGGAGCAGGAGCGTGAACGTAAACGGGAACAGGAACTGGAGCGCCAGCGGCGTAAGGATCGCGAGCGGGAAAAGGAGCAGGAAAGGCAAAAGCAACTGGAATGGAAACATGATTTGGATAAGGAACTCAAGCGTGAGCGGGAATTGGAGCGGGATCGTCAAAAACAGGAAGCCTCCAAAAAGCCAAATTCGGAAATCGCAAAGTTTGATGAGGAGTTCCAACGGGTCATTGCAGATTTGGAGCGCCAGGTGGTTAGCCTGGACTTTCGCTCCAAGACAATGGCCACCATGTGGATGGACAAGCTGCGCCAAACGCCTCACAATGCTGCCGAGGCCAGATCGAGAAATATAATAGCAGCCCACTTGCTCAAATGCAGAGGGGAAAATATATTCACAAAGGAGCCCTTCAATCATCCCCCACCAGTCGATAATTTGTCCACCATCAGAGAAAAAATGGTTGGTATTTTATTAAATTTTGTATAAGTAATGAATGAGTGAATGTACAATGTACATACCAAGTTGTCTTTATTTTTGAAGGATAATAATATTTGTTTTCTTCTAGTACCTGACCCGCGATAGTATGTGCCATGGAATGCCATTGGCCAAAGAGGCAGAACCGAACTCTCATTTAGTCAAACTGTTCAACGACTCATACGATGGTGGGGAATTCCTGAGCCGGCTTCCCGTGCCACGCGACGGCTCCTTCTTCATCCTGCACTTGCATCCAAATTTATAAAAATTTGTAACCTTTCTAAATTTATTATGAAAATATAATTTAAGCACTGTCTCTATATTTCTATTTATTTTTTGTTTTTGCATTTGTGGAGATTTCACAGTATAAAAAATTTTGGAGCAAATAGGCAAGAAAATGCAAAGAAAATTAAATAATATTTATAAAGGACAATTTTTTAAATAAATACTTTTTATTTTTGTCTCAAAATGCATCACAGCTAGTAACTTTACCAATAAATTGATAAAGCAGTCAGCAGCTGTCAGCTGTGCAGCTATTGGCCATTTTCAACACTCGCTCTTGTTAACCTCTAATTACCGTTGACTTCAAAATCTAATTACTAATTACTCGGTACGTGACACCGCAATTTGCCTGCTGGCCGAGCTGAAAAACAGTTTTCCACCTCGGGCCAGGCCCAAAACAACGATGCCGCACTTAAGTTGTCAGGGCTGGATAGAAAACGTGCGTGAGAAAAAAATCAAACTAACTTCAGAGATTCGCCGCCGCCACATTTTTGAGTCAGGTAAAGTTGGGTTGCTCATCCAATCACCTTGACTGAGGCGCTGCAAACGAACATCATGCACTACTCTACAATCCTATACTATATAGTGTCGAGAGACTGTTGCGAAAACTCATATAAATACGTTATTAGCATAAATCGTTCTCAACAGTAAGAAATGAAGCCGCGAACAGGACGGATCGTTAACAGCAGACACCTCAACTTGGTGAGTGTTGTACCCATATAATATATGGATTATTCGACACCCGAGATGATTAATCTATTAATGATTATTTTTAGCTTTATGCATTTCTGCCCCTGATGATAGATGCAGTTTACGGGGCACCTCCGTATGCATCACCTTATGGAAATGCTTATGCAACTCAACCCTATTCCTCGCCAGAAGTGCAATCAATATGGACTGGTGCCCCGATTGTGGTGAATGATAATCAGTATGGTGCCCAGGAACAGCAGCAGTATCCAAATGTTAACGCTTATTATGGAGGGGAACCGATTAGGCAACCCTATCCAAATTGGAGGAGGGAGGAGCTACCAGCGACACGTGCTCCAAATCACAACTACAACAATGTGCCAGGATACTTTTACTACCAACAACAGGAAACTACACCAACGCCTCCTCTTCAGTATTCCCAATCCATTCCGCCTCAACTTCAACCTTATCCTCGATTCACTTCCGAGTTGGATTCCAGCGATTCGCGTCGCGAGGAGGAGCAAGTGGTCCAAATAGGAGGCAGTCGCTCTCTGGCCCCAAATAACTACCAGAATGTCTACAGCAACGTTGAGAACTTCTATACACCAGCTCAACCCTGGAGGAGTCCCAATTTCGAGGCCAAATATGCACAGCATTATGCCGACTATTTGCGTAAATATCCCAGACGCCTGCAGCCAGTTTACAATACCCGCGAAGATGTCGATAAGAAGTGAATTTTACTCTGTGTTATAGTCAAATTGAATAAATCCTCTCGAGAGCCATTACGCTTTGGTTGAAAGCGTGCCAAGAAAACAATTGACCAAAAAATTAAAACAAAAATCTAATGTTGCAGTATTTTACGTATTGAAATAACAAATTCGTAGAGGGTACGCCGCTTTAGAAAAGTTATATTTAAATAACAAATTTAGGGAGGTATGCAGTTTTTTGCGCATTGAAATAGCAAATTCATAGAGGTATTCCACTTGAAAATCGGATAAAAATTAGAAAGTTATGGGCCTAGAAGTGCTGGGGTCTGGACACTTTTATTACCATCTCTCAATTAAAACTTGTATCAGAAAAAAGCAACTTGAGCGACTTTTACTATCCACCATTTGATTTATTTCCTGTTTAATTTTTAGGAATTCCTCCAATCAACTACACAGTAATTTTAGCTACACACTGCACAGTGGTTCGGCTTGTATGGGGAGAGCGGCCAAAAATACTTCTAGTTGAGGTAGGGACTTGAAACTTTGCAGAAAATTTTTGTATATTTATCCTAAAATAATATGTAAAAATCAGCCAGATCGGGCAACTATATCATATAGCTGCCATATGAACAATCGGTCTGATATTCAGTTTTTATATGCAAAATTGAGACAAAACAATTTTTAATTATGGCAGAACCATGTAATAATACTTTATGAACCGATGCAGGAAGGTAGTACCACGGATATTTAATGATAAGTAGTTTTGCTGTTTCTAATGCACACTCTCCGAATTTTGCAGAATTTATATTGTAGCCTGATGAAATCGCTTGCAAAATTGTTGAGCATCTTATTATTTCTACTGCTATACAAGGCTATAATCAAGCCTGTATGGACCTACGGGATCCAGCTCTGGGGTACTGCCTCCAACACAAACATTGCGGCCATCCAACGAGTGCAAAACAAGGCGTTGCGCATAGCCTCTGGAGCACACTTCCTAACCACCAATGAAGAGCTGCACACGACGCTGAAGATCCCATGGGTGGCTGAGGAGATCAAAAGGATTAGCACCAATTACATGGCGAAACTGTCAGACCATGACAACCCACTGGCCATTAACTTGCTGGACAACAGCACCACCACTAGAAGACTCAAGCGTTACCATCCCCTGGACTTGCCATTCAGAGACCCAGGCTAAGGCATCCCATGACCTTTTTCCTATCCCTACCCTAAAAATTAAATTTCTTTAACTTGTCAATGTAATCATAAAATTTAATGATTGTCCCTGCACGGACAGATTTTAAATATACTCGGGCAAAAAAAAAAAAAAAAAAAAAAAAAAAAAAAAAATCTTATTATTAAGTTCTCTTCAACACCTGTTATAATAGCAGACATATCAGGATTATTAAAAAATGCCCTGGCAGTATTGCCATCGTTAGAATTTCCGCTTCCGCCTGCTTTAGGCTAGGTTACCTTTTTGTATTTTGCAAGCCGCACGGCACCTTACGGCACTTGAACTAAACTTTCTTATATTCTTAAAATGCTTAAGAATATTATACCAAAAGATTTGTGAATGCCAAAGAGTGCCATCACAACTAAAACTCTAACCAAACACAGAAAAGACAAACTAAGAACGTTCACAATTATGTACTAAATACAACAATGATTTACACAACACACAACAAATACTACATATACTTTTTATTGTAAAAAGAAAGTTAATACCTTTCTTTAAAATATTAATCACTTCCATGGCACAAACGCTTGTTTTAAAAATGTTTAACAAGTTTTTTGCGGAGAGCTTCACTTGCACGTTGCTTACGCTGCAGTACATAATGAATATCATGCTATCTCTTTCGATGCTATTCTTGAAGCGGACAGACGGTGCAAAACAAAAAGATGAATTAATTCAAATAGCTAGACCAATTATAAATAAGAATTGGTAAATTTAAAGTTAAAATTTGGACTTTGGTTTTTTTATTTTGGGCCTACGGGCTGGACCACTGTGCACTGCAAGTGCCTCTCGATGTCAAAAGATTTTTCTTGCAATAAACTCGACGTTAAAACGAAGCCAGTTACAAGCAAAGTCAATAAATTGTGCAGCATACTTTGCGGCCCACTGGAAACCCGGCAACAAAAGCGCAGAGACAATGGATCTTTTTTATTGGAGAACGGAAGTAGCTGTTAGTTGGAAAGCACGTCTGAGCTATATACACAACTTTTACATGAGAATCTCGGTGGGCCGGGCAGCTGACACTTTGAGCACACAATGAACGTGCAGTTTACAGCGTTTAACATCATCATCATCGGAATTATCGTCATCGTCGTTAGCATCATCATCATCATCATCATTATTATCATTATCATCGGGGGCACAAACTTGCAGACTCTAGACATCAGAGAGCAGAAGCCGACGATGGCGATGGCGATGACTTGGGTATCCATCCCTACCTAACCCCCTGTACGTCCTAGATCCCTCCTTCCCCAACTTTACACCGCTCCCCAATCGATTTGATGAAAGTTTCGACAAAACGGAAGCGAGCCATGGGAAATGCGCCATTCACAGGGATTTGCCATTAAACAAATCGATTTTCCTGGGCTCCGGACAATCAACCGACATATTTAACTGCCACTGAAAGCGAGGTGGCTGGAGAATGGTTTTAACCCAGTGCGGATACGTTCGTTTGCATATTGAAGCCATCTGATATGATAACAGTTTGAGTCAATATAATAATATGGAAACTTAAATTAATGAAAACCTTTACCTAAAAACTACTTTAATAAGCTAAGGAGAATAAACTTCTCAAGTTAATGGATTTATAAAGAATTATTAGAAACAGGAAGAAACACTAAAGACTCCATTTGAAACTTGTAATGAATCCAATTATATTTTAACAAACAAGAACACTATCTTCAACTCTTAAAAATAAAGAAACGTCAGAAAAAAACTAATGTATACTTTCTGGCAAGCCATTTATCCCACGTATCACTATTTATTTGACCTTAGCTGTGAGCACACCGGAGAACTTTATTCACTTCACAACTTCATCCGGTCATCGGCAGTTTGTTCGTGGGCCATTTAGTTTGCGTGTGCGTAAGTGCCTCCGATGCTCCACTGTGGCCCGAATGAATGCACGGATGGCCAGAAAGATTTTTCATCAATGGGCCGCAGCACGCGCTCGTCTTGGCCAGTTAGCTAGTCAGTCAGTCAGTCAGCCAGGCAGACGGCAGCCAGCAAGCGAGCAAAAAAAAAAAAAGCCAGTCAATTAAAAATGCAACCACGCGCACAATGAGTTGGCAGTGGGACTTGGTTTGGCTTCATTTGAGTTGGCTTTTTAGATACATATTGCTTTGCTTCGACTTGGCTGTCGACATCGCCCACATAAGGTAAACAAACAGACAAGCAGGCAGTGAAGAAGACAGAATTTAACCCACTAACAAATTGATAAACAGACAGGGCAAAAATCAATGCAAATTCACAGAGGTGTTGCATCTGTTTTGTATCTCTTTAAGTTGGTAAATTTAAAATATAAGCGAATTCGTTTCAATGAGAACGTTATTTTAAGTAATGAATGTATTGCAACTAATTGTTTTTCGTGTTAAAATATTGTTATTAAATTTCCGAAAAAAACAACCTTTTAAAATGTTAATCACGAACGAGTTATCATTAGTTTTCAGCTGTCACTCATAACTCTTTTAATGGAAATTAATGGGTTAACGCTATTTGAGGTGGGTGTTGTACCGCCAAATATGGAACAGATAGCTTGTAACACCCAGCTGTCACAGCCACTCGAACTCAAACTCAACTCACTCACCTTGTACTCATCGAACTTCAGCACGAACTCCAAGATCTCGGCCAGCTGCTTGACCAGCGCCTGCTGGGTCTCCAAGTGCTGTGTCGGATTCAGTTTGCCGCCCACCAGCTGGCCCAGCAGCTTGGGCACAATCTTGTCCAGCTCCATGGAGTGCTCGTAGCAGCGCTTCAGTTTGTTGACCAGTGGCAGCACCGCCGCCCAAGCCTTTGCCGTCACCTCTGGCGAGGGATCCGCGATGGCTTCTCGGATTTCCTTGCCGGCACCCTGAAAAGATTCACGGGAAAAGAGGGAAGAGACGTCAGTCAATACGTTCGACTCGGAACTGGACTAAATGCGAGTTTGGCATGCGAACTATAAATGGTTTGTACACTTCAAAATTCTGGGATGCAACATTTTCTAAGCCTATGAAATTCTTGGTTTTTATTTTTTACTTTCACCTTTAGTTTGTACTCGTATGTTATACGTTTGTCAGGATTTTATTCTGTTGTTCAGACTCTTAATATCAATTGATAATTTTTTTCAGTGATCTTTTTCTGGGGTTTAGTTTTTTACAGGCCTCTAAAAAAAAGTATGCCTGCTGACCACATTTCATGCATTTGTTTTATTACAATCAGCGAACTGTGAGCCATTGTGGCCAGCTAGTTTTCATCGAGGAAAACTCTGCGTCTTTATTTGTGCGGCACATGCAACAATAACGACGTCGAAAGCCGCGTGCATTGACCGACCGGCGCAGCGATTTTTATCGATGCTTTATGATCTACAAAAATAAAATAAAGGAAAACACACACGGCACCGGGAAACTGGAGCTAACGAACGGTCATTGCATGATGTTAAGAGTTCGTTTTGTACAATCAGCAAATGGCGTTGATTATTTCAATTGGGGTCTTTTGGCATTTTTCTAATACATTTTAAGTGGCTAATAATACCCAAGATATTTTATTTGCAGACTGCCATCCAAGTTGCCAATGCAACAAAAAGGTGGATAAAATATGAATAAATTTAATTTACTTTAGTATATTTTTTAAAGGGTTTTTATATTGCTGGTGTTTGGTATCAAGTTTGGTACCAAGTCAACTCTAATAGTTGGCTAACTTAATTATGGCTTCCACGTCATTTTTTGTTGACCAAACCACGCACAACATAATAACATAATTATATACCCCTGCCGTTTGTTGTTGCGTGTCTAACCCATTATGCCATATTGGCATAGATTATAAAGAATTATATATAGCCAGCCCAGCCTCCTCTATTGAAAAGGTGCGAGTTACGCACAGCTCACTGGACTGCGAAGTTCAAGCTCAGTGTATTGGAGTGTGAGTATCTCCGCAAAGAAGTAAACGAGTGTTATTTTTGGTTTGCACACCTCTCCGTAATATAATGGACTAGCACGTGTTGTGTGTTTATAATTAAATCGCTGCGCATATCAACAAACACTCAGACGGAAGGCAAAATGCTGAGCTGCACTGAAAGGTAACTTTTTCAGAGGCATCTGTATTCAAAATAGAAAAGTAATAAGATCAAGAAAAGAAACAACATAACGCATGTACATACAACTGATACATTAAAAAAACCTTTTTATAAAACATTTTAAGATTTAAAGATCTACGTTTCCTTAAAAGCAATAAAGCTATATTTTTGGTAAAAATATTTTGCGAATACATTTTTTAACAGTGTAGCAGTGCAGTCACCCTCGTTCCCCAGCATTCTGCTTTGAGTACTTTGGCATAATCATAATAATAAGAACGCAACTGTCTGCAGCTAGCGTTGAGCAAACAGTGCATCTGTGATGTTTTGGCTTTTGTTTTTCACTCTCGGGCTCTGTGTGCTGGCATTTCTTTTCACTCTACATAATTTACACCTGTCTGTAAGTCAAGATCTCATGTCCTTGGCTGCTGCACTCGAAGCCTCCCAGAATGTTTAACGCGCGCAAACAAGTAAACAAAATGTGAGGGGAGTTGTGATAAAAATTAAGGGGATGAGGACTGCTGTCGTTGACTTGGCCTTAGTCGTCCATTTTACACAGAAAAAACCAAAATAAAAACCAGTTTTAGTTCAAAACTTAATGTAGGAACTTTAAATTTAGAAAAGAATTTAAAAAAATATCGCTTGTTTAATAATTTATTGAGTTAGGGATAACATTGGTTAAGTTTGCATAAACTCTTGAATAGATTTTAAAATCTATGGATAGCCTTTCATGTTTAAGTTTAAATTCATTGTGATCTCTCGTCCGAGAACATCGTTGGTTTTATGTAGAACCTTATCTTTAAAATATTTTTCCTGTGTGCATTCCCATTTTATTCAACGGCATTGTCTCGTTTACGCCAGTGACTCTCTAAGGACTCTTGAAGCCACGAACCGAGCACACGGTCATGCAACGGAAATGGTTCTGGCCTGGTCCGTTCACTTCTCCTCTCTTAGGCTTTTGAGTATATGGTTTTGAAATAAACGTGGCCTGTGTGGGCGTACTCTTGTTTACTAGCATTCCATGCCAGAGATTTCAAGCTGAGATTTTCGGAGAAGAAGAATACTTGTGTTTCTCCACATATGGCCAAGTATCGTTAGGCAGCTCACTTTTGTTTATTACCCTTGCGGGGGGCATTATGATACAGGGCAATGGTTTGCCACGCGATGGGGGAATAATTGACGGTATGATGGCAAATGTTCTGAATGAGTTTAATAGACAAACTTCGAGGTTGTTATTAAAAGGCGAACTCAACTGATTAAGCTAGTAAGTAATAATTACATACTTCATGATAACTATAATATTTTTGTTATACATGTTTATGAGATCGTTTTCTTATAAGGGTATTTAAATACTTTTCAATGCCAAAGACATGCCATTTTTCCCCCGTTTTCTGTTGATGTCCATTGCATTTTATCTCGCGTCATGTGCAAGTCAGATCCAAAAGAAGGACAGAAAACAAAAGGCGTAGGTGTTGCAGGGGAACCTAAAGTCAAGTCACAGGAAACGGGATCGGGATGCCTGCATCGCATCTCCTGTCCAGTGAGCAATTGTGTTGATTCATCACCGCATCCCATGTTCTTACGTTTCAAACAAAACCACGATGTGCTCCATTTGTAAGCACGTGCTGTCTGCTTCAGCGTTTTTCCAAGTAAACGAGGAAAATAAGAAGAAAATCACCCACAGCCACAACAAACTTGAACTTGCCTACTCGAATGAAAAGAAATCATAATAAACCAACAACCGTTTTTCGTTTTGTAACTGTTTCTTGTTTGGGCTTTAATTAACACTGGCCCATCATCTTGCTCATCAGCAGCAGAAGCAGCAGCATAAAAGCGCAATCAGTCAGCGTTTCATTTGCTCCGCGGAGCTGCAAAAACCCCTCACAAAGCTAACCACACATAACCACACACCACACTTAGATGAATAGTTAATTAACTTTGGCGAGTGTTGCATCTGCCGCAGAATGGCAGTGTTTTTAATTGAAAACGAAATTAGAGGCAGCAATGCGGAAATGCAGAAGTGGGGAGAGAACGGCCTGCCCTAGATAATTGCCAATGACACTTGGCAGTGTTGTTTAACATTAGCGAACAAGATCATGTTTTAATCGCAGCCCCCACTCACTAAACTGAGAACCTGATCCAAGCGCCAACTTAATCGTAATCTTAAAACAGAGAGAACAATTTTCCGACCTTAGGGATTTAAATTTCAAAACTTTAATATTTGGTAGAAATATTTAATAGTAATAGTAATATGACTTAAAGCCCATTTCAAATATGTATCAAAAAACTGCAAAATAACCATTGAGTATCCAAAACACTTTAAACTCTTCTTTAATTATATGTATTTATAAAGTTTTATCGTTAAAATTTCCCCTTGTGCGGCTGTTTATCCCAAGTGGCGCTAAAGTGCAACTCAGACTCGCTATTGGACTTTCGCCCACAATGGAAACGCGTGACGTTATAAAATAGTTGATGTCATGTGTTTGTGAAAGGAGGGATAAGGTGGGGTTGGGAGCCGGAAAAGTGTGGGTGGTGTTGCACCAGACGAAATGGAAATGTTTCCATGGATGCCACAGAAGTTGTTTACAGCTTTGGCGATGTGTTTAACAACAAACAGTTCCCCCGAGAGGACAGACATGCCAAACATGCCGGGCATTTTTTCTGGTTTTTGCTGACATTTCGTTTCATAAAAAAGTGACTGCGCTTTTCTAATTTCCCTTAGCTTTGCTTGCATCATCAATGGCAACGTTTCAAATTCCCATCACGTTGTAATGAATCAATGAATGAATCGCAAGCGAACAAAAAGACAAAAATTATATACGGTTGTATATTCAAACAAAACAGAGGAGAAATAAAGTCGGAGAACCACAAATCAATGCAAATATATTCTGGGAATTAAAAAGACCAAAACAATTTCTCAGAGGTGGGCTCCCTTTGATGACTGACAATTTTTCATCATTTATTTTTAATAGGAAGGATTCCGAGGAAAAACCAGAAAACGAAAGCGCAAATAAACAAAGGAAGCTGATCCCACAGACACTCGGTCGCCTTTGATGACAACACTTGAGTATCAAAAGGCACATATGTATAAATAAAATACAAACGAACTGCAAGTGCAATTTTATGACGACAACGATGACAAGCTATGTATGTCTTCAATTTTCTCATAGCGCCACTTAAATGACTAACAAAATCATAAATGTTTCATAATTTCCAACGAATACTTGTGTTTATGTTTTTGCCTTCCGCTGACAAGAACCTCTTAATAATTCAATGTTCACAAGAGCAACGCTCAAAAAAGTTCTCCGTCGGTTTATTCCCGTTTCAAAGTCGGATATCAGCAGACATAATATGTAAGTAAATATATATATATCCGTACACTAACGGAAACTCTAGCAGCATCATTAATATTTAATAAAATTCTTTGAATCTAATAGAATTCCAATTAAAAAATGATTCTTGGAAATCATAGTATAAAAATTCATTTTAAAATTATGAATGAAAATTATAAAGAAAACACTATGGCTCAATGACTTTTAATCAGTAAGTCTGATTCAAACAAAATTATTCCTTAAAGTATATTTTATCAAGTTAACATTTCGAAAATTTTTCTATAAGCCCCTTGTTTTCAAAAGTATATCCTATTTGTTTCCTGTGTAGGCCTTGCAAAATTCTTTTGTTATTGTTGATGTTGCGTTACACTTGTAAAACTGCTGACTCGAACAAGAAGTCGCAACTATGGCTTTTGTGAGTCACTTTTGAATCTGAACGATCATTGACTGGGGCTTTTGTCGGGGAAC